GTGCCCCCGTGCCCCCGTGTCCCCTTTCCAAGTTCCAACATCCGCTGGGCTGCCAACACCATGACATTGCCAACACCATGACATTGCCAACGCCCAGAACATTTGGACAAAAGTGGAAATGGAAAGTCCGCCAATATTCTTGGCCTTCGACAATTATAATTCGACGGTACACGTAGACCGCACGCACCCCCACCCGGCAGCAATACCATGTTCGATATGTTTTGCTTGTTATGAGGCTCCGTCGCTTTGATGCATGTCTCAACTACCTACTACTCAACTCTCAAAAAACCACAATTTTACAAAGTAAAGCGCACTCTTCTCCAAAACGTTTGAACGCCCACATGAGAATCTGAGAGAATCTGAGATACCTCTTATCGATCGGATCGGATTCAGGCCTGTTTTTGTTTTTGAGAAGTGACAACAAGTGACAAAAAAAAAGAATCCCATCGGTGCCAATTCGTTTTTCCCTATCTCCCATCCATCCCTATTCCCATCCCCTCAGGATGTTCAGCTCTCGCCCAGCAATCCAGCACAGGGGCACAAGGGGCACAGGGCATGGTGTTCTCACTGTCTCAAAACCCCAATCCGAACCACGACGGTTCGAATCGACGACCATTCAGAAACCAAGGATCCATGTCTCACATTACGCGCAACTTGTTATCTTGAATCAAACCGGCATGCATCGAAAAAGGAACATGTGCCCTAACTCCCCAACTGCCCAATTGCCTAATTGCCCTAATTGCCTGACTGCCTGCTGTGCTCGGAGGCACGACATCCATTTGGATTTACGGCGTCACTATCGATTTGGTTGAGTCCATGCCCATGTCCATGTCCATCTCGATGCCCGTCCTACAAAACCGAATGCGAACTAATAGTGCACTGAAGCCATGCGAAAAGCGAAAAGCGAAATGTCGATCGACCAGTCCAATGTTCCGTGTGGGGGAGGAGCCATGGAGTCCCGACAACCAGAACCAGAACCAGAACCAGAACCAGAACCAGAACCAGAACCAGAACCAGAACCAGAACCAGAACCAGAACCAGAACGAGAATCGATTGCGACGAACAGGAAAGAGATCCTTTCAATCCTTCGACCTAAGTCAAATCACGATCCGCATCATCATACCTGCACACGATTTCCGTTCCGCTATTGGCGACGACAGTCCCAAAAAGCCTGGTAACTTTCTTGATTCTTCCGATGCCCACTTGAGCGCAGATGTGATATCGACATTGTGCAGGTGGCGTTTCGACGCCCACGCTGCTGGCGCTATACCTTTGGCAACCAGGAAGAACCAATGGTGACCTGATGTTGGTATCCGACTGACTGACTTCCGTGCAAGTACGTAAAAAGAAAGCCGAGACTCGAAACTCTTCCACTTTCAATGGGATCGACGTCAGCGGCGTCGACCGACAGGTACCGAATGCATGACCGCAAGGTGGTCCCCAGTTGTTCAGCTGGCTATGTGCATGGCGGGTCCCGTTCCCGCTCACCCAAAGCAAGCGACAAGCTGGAAGCTCCATCCAGTGACCGCAGCACGCTTGGCGGAGTGGTTCCGGACGTCCTATTTACCCAAAATGGCGGTGGCCATTTGACTCGGGGGAGAGGAATAATGAAAATTGTACACCGGACCGGGAACATCGGAAGCTCTCCGCATCCCGGAGAACCCATAGAGTTCGCGGGCCGTGATGGAGCAAACGTGGCTCTCGTCTTCTTCTGCACAACGTGGTTGCTGCATGTATGTTTGCAATAGTTTGTGCCCACTTCCCGAGGTAATCGAGCCCGGACAAGCCGAACACGTCCATTTTCGGGGGATGAAAATCAGTGATTTTGTTGTCTGTTTTTTTTTGTTCCTGACTGGGAAACGAACATCAGATTACATAGCTTATGAGTTCCCTTTCGGGACGCCATCAGACCACCGAACCGTTACATTGAACAATGACCGGTGCGACGCTCAGGTTAGTGTAGAACAAGGTTGGACGAAAGAAACCATGACAGGGACGGGGCCCGAGAATGGCCCTTGTTGGCGTTGACAGGAAAAAAACATGATTGGTTGCCGAGCGATCTGTCATGAACGACTCCGTTGATCGACATCCAGGATTCCCAGAAAGTCATGATCCACGAACCACGGTTTTGGAGATTCAGATCTGCAGCCCAATTGGTTAAGCGATCAGCCGGCCGATCATATTCTTTCTCGTTATAGCCAACTTTGGTTCACCACCACACATGTATGATCTCCGTATGCTATGAAAAGATTAGTGTAACGTGCTGGAGATGAGCCAGCTGGGTTCTCCGGACTTCGGCCTCAGTCCGGTAGGATTAGTGTGACAGCCATGCAGTGCCCTTACCTATTCAATATCCAGACGGATCAGAATCAGGGAAAACAAGGATGGCGAGAGTGCGTCTGAAGAAAAAGGAAAGACGAAAGAGCTCCATAAACGGAAGCGGAGCATGTCCACAGCGGCCGCGTAGCAAGGAAACGCAGAGTGGAAACGCAAGGGATCCCGGACCTCGTGTTGAGACTTCCAACTCCAGTCTGCCAACCCAAAGGTTGGCTTGACTGGGTAACTTTTGGTTGATTGTCTCCAGTATAGATAGGAGCCTCCTTTCCCGCAAGTCAGGATGGGATTTGAGACTCGCCAGGGCAAGTAGACAGTCCAGTTCAAATTGCCGTGTCGCGCCACGGTTCGGTTCTAGACTTGTCTCTCATCAACGGTCGACTCTTCCTTCATCTCGTTAGCATCAAGATGGCTCGCCTCACAAGTCTGTTGATGGCTGTTGCCGCTGTTGTCGGTACTGCCCAAGCAACCCTTCCCACGGAATGGACACCCATTTGCAAGGAGATCGAGGCCAAGATCTCGAAGGCCAGCGATGTCATCTACCCGAGTAAGTGATGCGAGTCCCCCTCAAAATGTCTCACAGCGGGAACGGATTACTCACATCTTATCCCATGTACAGTCCAGGCTGTCTCCTTCACGTCAGCCATTACCCATTGGTTCTGGTCGTCCTATGAGAAGCCGTCGTGCGTATTCGCACCTGGGTCTGCAGAGGATGTGTCGATTGCGCTGCAGATTATTGGCGCTACCAAGACCCCTTTTGCCGTCCAGTCTGGCGGTCACTCGTCGAACCCAGGCTTCTCCAGCACCAAGGGTGTACACATCTCGCTCAAGAGGCTGGACCAGGTGAAGCTGTCTGAGGACAAGAGCGTCGCCGAGATTGGCTTTGGTAACGTGAGTGGATGCCGATAGTTTTGAGGCATGACCGGCGACTAACAATGATTCAGATCTGGGTTGATGTGTACAAGGCCCTGGAAGGTACCGGCAGAAACGTTGTTGGAGGAAGAGTGCCCGGCCCGGGCGTTGGTGGCTTCACCCTCGGTGGTGGATACTCCTGGAAGACCAGCCAGTATGGCCTGACCTGTGACACTGTCAAGAGTTTTGAGCTTGTCCTTCCCGTAAGTCACCATGGTTGGTTGCTGTTGAGATCGCTGTTAGCTAACACACCACTTGACAGAACGGAACCATTACCAGGGTATCCAAGACCCAGAACCCCGATCTCTTCTTTGCCCTCAAGGGCGGTTTGAACCGCTTCGGCATCGTCACCTCGGCTGAATTCTACACCCATGAGCAGCCCGACAAGGTCTATGGCGGTCTCGGTATCTATCCCACCAGTGCAGTTGACAAGATTCTCAACGCCACTTCTGAGTTCGCGAACCTGAACAAGGATCCCAGGACCCAGATTATCACCACCCTCGAGGGCAGTCCTCTGGGTACCACTGCTTTGGTCCTGTTCTTCCACGATGGTCCTGAGAAGCCGGCCTCGTTTGAGGTGTTTGACGAAATCAAGCCGCTGATCAAGGCTGTCAAGGCTCAAAGCTTCGTCAGCTTTGTGAACACCTTTCCTGCGCAGGTTCGCCAGTTGACCAACATTCGTGGTGGTTTCATCAGCTTTTCGACCACTGAGCTGTCTCAGACTTTCCTGGAGGCCATCAGGCAAGAGACTGATGTAAGTTGCTGTGATTCCGTCACAAACAAAGAGAAGAAGACGGCTAACCTTGAATAACAACACCAGGCCCTCAACAAGATCATGGGTCTCCACGGCGGCATCACCGTCAGCTATGACATTGAGCCCTTCACCAAGTACGGCGAGCACGCCACCGAGAGTGCTTTCCCGCACACCGAGTCTCCCCTTCCGGTAAGTCACTTGATGTTTCACCTACCTGTTCCCCCCCCCAACAGATCCGAGCTAACGCATCCCCAGCTCAACATCTACTTCGCGTGGTCTCTTCCCAAGAACGACGAGTTCTGGTACGGCCGCATGAAGCAGACCCTTGAGACGCTCAAGAAGGTGGCCATCGACGACGGCATCTACAGCGATGCCTTCACCTACTACCCCAACTATTCGCTCTTTGACGCGACTCCGGAGGAGCTGTATGGCAACGAGAACGCGGCGCGGTTGGCCAGGATCAGGGACCAGATTGACCCTAACAGGATCATGGAGCTGGCCGGTGGTTACAAGATCTAATGAGGGAGGAAGATGTCCGTTTGTGCATTGTTTGTTTTGTGTTTGTAGCATGGAGTAAAGGCACGTTTCGCGGCGTTGGGCTGTATCGTCGTTCGAAAATCGAAATATCATAACCTGTTTGACAACCACTGTTGGCTGCCGAACCATGAATCGACGTCAAAAGGGGCGGAATACAGAATTGACATGGCATCCGCCTTTGTTATGGTAGGAACTGTAGGTAAAGCCGCTTGTTGTCAAGTTGTTTGTTCCATTAAAGGCTAACGGAATCCGACAGCAAGAGATTGCAGCTCAGATCGTTCCATCACGAGTGGTGGCCTGCAAAAACCAGAAGTGTACAGGAAAGCCAACAGATATGACATGTTGGAATCCCGCTGTGGAGGAACGCGAAGAAAGGAATGTCAAGTGAGGTGGGAAGGGTTGAGGCGGGGTATTCTTCCCGCATACTGCATGGTGCCGACGAGCTCAGAGGATCTCGTCAGCAATGCAAAGCGCTCAGGCTCGTATCATCAATGGAGCGAAGCCGAAAGGCTCGGTTAGCATGGGTCAGCAAGATCCAGAGTGAGTGGATGAACAAAGGAGATCAATAATCGACACGGCTGTCTGGAAGGACTTATTCGCGTGCAGCATCGAATTTCGCGGCGGCAGGTGACACAAAGTGGAAAACTGCGGACTCATTGTCTAACTTGGCAAAAGCGATACTGACAGAGATACCGAGGTGTGAAAACATTGGGAAGTACCGACAGCCACCGAAACAGCGGCTGCATGGAGCCGGCTTGCTGCTTCCTCTTGACACCGGCACACAGCTCCAACGAATATTCGAAAAAGGCATGATCCTCCACGCCGGACAAGATCGTGAGGCTTTGTGCGAACAGGTCCAACTCCTCAGTCCCCAACCCTATCCACGATGAGCCTCTTCCTAATTGCCATAGTCAATGCAATAAACTATCAGAAAACAAAATCCGACACAGTAGGCATGTCTATGTCTGTGTAGCTCGGAGATTATCCCGAGCCTCGTGTGTACCATATGTGGCGCTAACGATCACAATCATGTTTGGGTACGGATCATCCCGTGTCCGAATACCATCTTCCAGCTTTACTCGAACATGAGATCCGGTGAGCGCAAGGGGCGTGGAACCATCCTGTGAAAGAGAGTGAAGCAGTCAGATACCTGGATGCTAGGAACGCGAGGCGGGCAATGTTGACCTGGGCTAACTTACAACGTTGCGGATTGGCCCGAACTCCTTGTCAAAGTCTTCGGTTCGGTAATTCGTTGATGTCCACACCTGGACCGTCGGATCCTGGCTGCTGCCGGACGCCCGATTGGCAAATTGGTAGTGGCCAATGGTTGCCTTGACCGTGATCCTTGAGGTACCG